CCCACACCCCCCCATCCACCTCCAAACGGCCTCACGGAGCCCGGAGCCTCCCTCCCCCCCACTTGGGACTGAGCCGAAAGCTGCTCTCGCACGTCTGGGGTTTCGCTTTCACCCCCCTTTTCTCGCTTTCCCACTCGAAGCCCTCCAAGGATAATATTTCCTCTTGAAGCAAGGAAATACCATCTCAGAAACACGTGAAAACAGCTAAGCAGGAAAAAAAGCAAGGACGGAAAATCGGTACAAAGTAACAAAAATGAAGAATGCATCTCTTATGTCCTAGAAATCCTGAGGAGCAAGAAAAATATCACACATTTGGTCTGTTCTTACTGTAAATCTCGTTGTAAGAGTCACACCGATGGGAGAAAACTGAAATATCTTTTTAGAGGAGTTCTAGACAAAATATACTGCTAATTTTTCATTTTTCCCGTAGCTTATTGCTTAGAATGAATCCGAAACACAGTTTGCATTGCTATCAAGCCCGTTCAGAGTTTATCCTGGAGTTTCTCCAGTTTCCTCATGCAATATTACACAGCTGCTCGCTTTGCTAAAACCAACGGCAGCGAGACAGCCAGCGATGATTCCACCACTAGCAGACAAATTGTTAACACTCATCCTCCTGGTGAAGAAAACCCCTCACCAAACTGCTGCCTTTCCCCTGCTGTAACTCCCCTGGGATCACAGGGAACCATTTTCCCCAGGAGGGATGGAGCGCTTTGCTCCCGTCTCCCGTGCTCCCAGTTTTGGGGACACCAGCTTTGCATTTAAGATGTGTCCAACCACCATCTGTTCTGTCAGCGCACACTGATTTTCTTCACCCCTGATTTTCAGGGGGGCTCAGCTCCTCTACGCCCACACGCAGGTCGAGGAGCGCTGCCTGCTCTAACCACCTCCAGAAATCTGCCTGAGGGTGTATTGAGGTGCCCAGAATTGGCAACCGCTTCAGAAAATACTATTTGCAGGCAAAATTGTTAATTTTCCAGAGAATGAAGCTGAGAAATTGCTGGGATTCGTGTTAATAGATTTTTAAGGGGAAACAACATCTGCTTGGCTGCCAGTAATATTTCAAGATCTACATGGGGCTGAAAGCAGGATCTGAGCTCCCTTCTGGTTCGCATGCTCTGGATAAGAGCCCAGAGGCAGAGCGGGGGCGATGCTGACCCCCCAGCCCAGCAGAGGCGCTGGGGCTGCCTCTCCTCCCAGCACTGACCACCTCACCCGTTCGGGGAGGCTGGAGGGGCTCCTTAATGAGCAACCGAGAGGGAGGAGTAATTCTTGAGAGGTTGGGACTTAATGGCAGGAGAGCAGGATGAGGGGACATCTCTCTAAGCCATGGGATGGCTCTTTCCACTTATGCCCAAACGATCACTTGGGAGAAAGTTAGAGATCTCTTCATACACTGTTTTTAGACAAAATCTAAGCATTATTGCCAGCTATATTTTCACAACTCTAAAGAATTGAAGTGCTGTCCTAAAACCTTGGGCATCCAGCGAGCATCTGAGGATCCTGCAGGGAGCAGGAGCCAGTACAGGCACTGCAGGGTCTGCCAGTCTTGGCTTCATCTTCTATTTCCCTGCCGCCATGGGGCAGTGGGGATGGATAACTCGCATCCAGAGCCTGGATGAGGGCAGATACCTCTGCTAAAGAAAAGAGCTGGACAAAGAGAGGGGGATCTCTGGCTACTAATGCTGTCTGGGGCAACCAGAGATTCATCCTGGGGCTGGTAAAGGACCTAGAGCCAGCGTGGAAGAGCTGCAGACAGCACATCATGCTGCTATGAGAAACCAGTTAGAAAGTATTTGAGCAGTGTTTACTGCGGTGGAGGCATCTCCAAAGCAAAAGCAGGACCAGAGCTGGGAATGTTCCCCCACTGATGCATTTGATCTCTTTTCCCCAGGGTAAAGTGGCAGTCAGCTCTTCCAGCCCCGTTGTCGCAGCTTCGTTACCACCCCCATCCCAGGCCAGACAAACACCCATCAGCGAGGGGGAGCTCTTCAAGCTTCCAGGCAGGCTGAGTGAGTAGATGTTGCGCAAGTCAACGCTGCTTAAAAAAAAGAGGAGTTCCCACAGGGTGGGACGTGGTGGGTACAGCCATGGTGTCCCACCCAGGGACCATTCCCTGCTGTCAAGGGAGACAAGATGGACCAGTCATCAGGGTTCATTTTCTCTCTTTGGGGCATTTTTGACCTGTGAGTGCTTAATATAGAGGGAAAGTTTGGTGATGAAGGAGACTAGCGTCCCACCCTGCCCCTCAGCAGTTTTGAAGATGGAGACTGGGTTGTTTCAGAGGCTGCCCCTGGTTTCAGGAATCCAGCCCTCCCTGTGGAGCAAAGACGACGTGATCCACTGGCTAAGATGGGCTGAAAAAGAGTATTCCCTTCGGCAAACCGACGAAAGCAAGTTTGAAATGAACGGCAAAGCCCTGTGCATCCTCACCAAGGATGACTTCAGATACCGAGCTCCGAGCTCAGGTTAGACCAAGTGCAAGGGTGTTTCTGAGGACCATCCAAGTACAGCACAAGCTGTGGTCTGCTGAGAGGGGCTGGATGGGTCCCAGCAGACCAGGCTTTAGCTCTGGCCAGTTGGGTGCTGGAGACAAGGACAACCCTCTTCCTTCCTTTAGTCCATCTGGACTGCAAATGCTTTGGGATGGGGAATAACCTCTTACCCTGTAGCACAGAAATCTAAGCAACAACATCAACTGAGAGAGGCTATAATGCAAAGTCATCTGAGCAGACTTTCCTTCCCTGCAGGTGATGTGTTATATGAAATATTCCAGTACATTAAAACTCAAAGAAGAGCTCTGGCGTGCAGCCCTTTGCTGAACTCACCCTTCAGGGAAGCCAGGAGCACAGAGGAAGGTATGCTGGAGAATGGCAGCTGTCCATCAAGCAGAGCCTGCCCTCAGCTACAGTGGGTTGCACACACCTGGGGCTTGAAGCTCAGCCAGCTGAACCCATTCCACACTACCTGAGCAAGGCAGGTGGGACAGTCATGGAGATGGCAGCCAGGTCCAACAAAGTCTAGGTCATCAAGGAAGTTTGTAGTGATGAAGCAGGTCTGGTCAGAATCAGGCCTAGGCAGCACCAGGTGGGTCCACGATGACCAGGCAAGGCTACAGCTACGCTAGGAAGTCTGTTGGCAGGTTGAGATCTGGATCAGGGAGGGTCAATAGCCAGGCAGAGGCACAGTCCTGGCTAGAGACCAATCCTCCTGCAGCATAGCTAGGGAAGGACTGAGGAGCCAGGACTGAGCTTAAATAGAGCTTCTGGGCCAATGGGTGGAGTGGGAGAGGCCCCAGGTGAGGCTGGTCAGGGCCAGTGAGGCTTATTAGTGCCCTTGGGGGGCCTAGGTAGGAGTTAGGGTGTTGATAGGTTGGTATCAGTAGCTGGCTTTGCATTGGGGTGGATCTAGGAGTGTTTTCCTGAGCTCTTCTGCTGGTTCAGGTATAGGGTGATGAACATCTTGAGCCCCCACAACAATTTACAAGGGAGTGCCTGTACTCTGGTGCATTCTCCTATTCCAGTTTTTCATCTGCATCTGACCCTCACCCTACTTGACACCTTCTCTAACCCCCTGGACCTTCTGCTACTCCTGCCTTAGGAAAATCCCAGGCTTTCCTCAGCACCTGCCTTCTCTGGCTGGGCTGGTACTAGGCTGATAACCAGCCTGGCCTGTCCCTCCTCACCTCTTTCAGGGCTTTGGAAGATCTCCTGGGACCTGCTGTAATGCACCACAGGGTTGTGTTGTGTTGTTTTGTTTTGCAGGGACAGACTGTAGTGCTGAGGCTGCCCCAGTTGCTGTTTCCTCCTGCCTG